TTCAGGTGTAAAATGTGCACACAACTATAGAGTTAATAGACATTTTGTGTATAATCCTCAAATCTCAGACTATCAATGCTTCCGGAAACGACCAGGCCGCCATTTGAACTGAAAATTTAAACACAACTTATTATATGAGTGATTGTGATATTAGCTTACAATTTGGGACCATTTTGTTTTCAAAATACGGGAATGACCTTGGGAAACATTCGGTCTGCTTTTTCATTTCTTAGCATCTACAGCACATACATACATGAAACCTTTCGCAAAAATTCATTGAGAGTATTGTTTGCAGGCTGTGTCATCACATTTCTCATTAATATAAATTAGGTTCTTGGTGAAAATAGACTATAATAATACTAATATTTTTCCTGGATTTGTGGATGACCTTAGACCTATTTTGATATATCACAGCGTTTACAATGGTTCGAGGCGTTTTAATTGCAAGGGATCATATGATTTAGTAAACAAAATGTATATGTATATGTGTTCGGTGTGTCAGTATGTGTCTTCATCAAACAGTATCAAACAATGTTATTATTCACATATCTGTTTCCATGTCTCCATTATCCCACTTGGCGTATGTTCGTGTCTGTCACAGTACTTGGGTTTTACAGTTGCGCATTTGTATGTTTAAAATTATATGACTATATTGTTTCAGTTGAAAGGCATTGTAGATGTGTATATCTCTATAGTGATATCGAATATAAACAACTATTTATTTATTTATTTATTTTGCAGGTGGTATAAATAACACTATTTAATGCTTACAATATTCATATTTCACATAATATGAGATTATTACGAGGATATAAAGACAGTACAGCTGGAGTATCGATCAACGCGCAGCAGAGGTCGATGCTCGGCGTACTGTCTATTATTAGAGAACGCTTACGCGCGTAATCATTTTATATTTGGAATTCGCATTTCCTAATATGGTATGATGAAAATACCCTGCAAAATTACGGCACGCTGTAACTAATGGCATTACGGTTACAGATGTATAATAATAGCTATTACAGTAATATTGTTTTTTAATTGGTATTTAAATTATTTTTAAAGATTTTTTGTGAGATATAATGTTAATAAAAATGTTCACCCTTTTTTTACAGCTGGGCTTGTAATCAGTAAGGACAAATCTAGTGCAAGTGATATTCAATGTGCCTCACCGTACAGAGTTTATAATCGGGCTAGTTTTAATTCGATAGTCAACGAGCTTACCAAGAATGGAGAGAATGTCAGTTTCTGGGTTGATGGTATGATTACAAACGGTACAATAACTTTCAGTAATGGTAAATCAATGCCCATTGATAAGTCATTGTTTCGCAAGGGCGAACCCAATGGAAGTGGTGTATGCACTCAATTGTGGTGAGTCCAATTATAGTGTGTTTGTTCTAACATGCCCGTGCAGGCGAATATGTCATCGTTGAGGTAAATAACATTGTGACTCATTAAATTTATGAAAATGTAGCACTAATTTCATAACATTAGCAACTGTCGTTAGATGTCATTAGATTTAATCAAAATGTATTTTCTGTGCTCTTTTTATAGGTACACAAATAAATGGAAATTGGACGATGTGGACTGTTCAAGACAGAAGAAGTACTTATGTTCAGGTTAAGTAAACTCAGATATATATATATATATATATATATATATAACGTTGTCAAAATTGATTACTAAATCATAAATATACTTTAATGTAAATGGCTGCGCGAGGAAGTGAGTTGCAATACTTGTTTTTGCCACTCAAATAGTGTTACATCCATCCAGTCATCATTTCTGTTCTTCCGAATATCATGTTTATTTAGGACATGGGGACAGTGAACGCCACGATGATTTTACAAATATAATAACATAATAACAAAACATAGACCAAAGGCGATAATTAAGCAAAAGTGCCTCTAAAATCAGTGCAATATTAATGAATGTCGTGTATATTGCTTTCTTAACTTAAATATATCTTTATAACTTTTGGCCCCAATAATAAGCATAATTATAATATCTCGAACACTGTTGCAGATAGAGTCGTTGGACTAGGAATATGACTAGCACATCAGATGATGTATATGATTTTGTGACCCCATAAAATGTTTATAATATCTAGTTTCATCCACAATCATATAATAATTATTATCTGCCAATGTATTGTATTGGGGAGCGGGTATCTATGCCTTAACACTGGTTTGTATGTACTCGGGAATATATTGGGATCCATTTAGTTGGAAACTCAAATGTTTGTTGTTCCAATGTTCCAGTACCTTGAATACAAACGTCTTTGGAATGTTTTTACTGTGTTCCGCACATTACATCACGGGAATGGGTCGGCATAGTATACATTTGCATAACTCAAGCGAAGACCTGATTTGCGTTCTGCTGAGTGTGTTTTATCAGTTATCAACTTGTTAGAGGCTGTCCAAAATATGTTGAAATAATTATTTGAGCTAGTGCAAATGTTAATCTTGTAACTTAGGTAAATGTCCCACTCAGTTTAGTCGCTGAAAACGTGAAATAAAAAGAAATAATAAAAGTTGTGTATTATGTTAACGTGCTCGAATATGACATGACAAATTTAACATCCAAAAGGACATTAAAAACTGCATTTGTATAATTTTATTCGGTGAAAATACACAACACACCGAACGGCATACATTACTCTACTTCTATGATGACTGACCTCTGAAGTTTGAAAGTCACGTGGTTACTGTTGAAACCAATAGACGCGCTATATCGAGGTACTGTAAATTGGCGCCGTATTTTCAACTAACCAAGGCTTTCAATAAATAGGTGAGAGTTCAACTTTTGGATTCCTTCTATCTCAAGAACTGAATTGTGTGTTTGGTATATATTTGATGAGCATGTGCTTTCAAGAAGGCTTGTCATATTGTACAATGTATTCCACCAACAATATGCAATTGAAGTAATCATATTACCAAGTACCTCTATATCCATACAAATTGTCATTCTTCGTATTTATCGTATTCAATACAATTTTGGATAACTAATTATGACTTGGGACATTAGTCACATTTATTCAGCATAACATAATTAATCGTTTAAGTGTGTACTTTTCACATAACATTGGGATAGTGACATTTCTATTCTTGATAATATAAAAATTACATATCAAGCTTGCGGCTGTATTTAAAATACATTTTAAAACAATGTGTTTCTTTGGAATATCCTGGCAACCAAGTCATTGTCCATAATAACCATGCTTAAAAATTTCTATTTTAGCGATTTGTAGCTGATAATCGCATGGCCGAGAAAATGTCATTATAAATCACCCGATACATCGCTAGAACAAGGACAATACTCTCAACAATGGAGATGAATGAAATAGATATTTGTTCTTATAGTTGCGAATGTTCATTGTTTACAAATAACTGAATGATAGTGATTAGTTCTAAAATAATGCAATGTAGTCTACAGCAAGGTATTACATCAGTAGAACCGGAATGTGTATAGATTACACTGATCATAAAATACTCTGATATTATACGTATGCAAACTAGGCTACACATACGATTGGTCACGTTTGTTTAAAACATCATATTTCAGAACACATGCACAGCGATATGACACAAATCTCCGCCCATTATCTTACAGCTTCTTTATGATGTATTTTTTTTTATTAATCAGGTGAATGCTACACATGTGAAAATGAACATACGTTTGGAGAATGCTCTATTAATACAACACAATGTTCACGGGTATAAATCAATTTTATTTCTATATGTATGTATGTATGTATGTATGTATGTATGTATGTATGTATGTATGTATGTATGTATGTATGTGCGTTTGTGGGGTCAACGTTTAATTTGACCTTACCAAGTGACGACATACCTACTAAGTCACGACCCTCACTATTTTCATAATTCGGATTTATATTTAATCAAATTTATGTCGGGTATGTGTAGCTTAGGGTTAGTGATCTGAGAAGGTACGGTACATTTTATAATAATAATACTATTATTGTACAATACCTACCCTAAACATAAGCTTCGCAAACTTTTCTATGTTACGTCACAGGATATTCAACTTTTATTTAATTAATGTTTAATTAAAACGCAACCCTTCATAGAGTCGCGTTTTAATCCAAACATGACGCAACTACTGAAATTTAATTCAATATGTGTCGTCACAACGATGGTCAGACATGCATACGTGTGTTTGGGGCATAAATAATTTTCTCAACGGAGTGATAAATTATTGTGTTATTTTCAAATAATCAAGACACATCCCAGATGTCTCGAGATCCGCTCCTCTAGTCAGTCTTCGATAAGCTCCGTTCAATAGGTTCACAGATACATCTGCTCGGAGAAAAAATGTGAACTAAGACTTGAATTTTATTTAATTCCCCCTGTAAGTGAACTCAGTATAATAAGTAAATCATTTTCACAGAGAAACACTGTAGCTCAATAGTATTCCCGGACCTTCATTTACGACACATGCTGTAGTTTATTTTGTTGTAGGAAAAAGTGCAATTAATGTTCTGTATAATAAAATAAGTATATATTACTCGTAATTTTGGAGTGAACGTCCCATCTAGGAATCCTAATTTCGCTTTTGTTCAACTTGTTTGCATATTTGCACTTGTATACAGTAATAACCCAATATAAACACCAACAAAATATTACAATAAAACATTTTCAGTATTGCTTAACACTAACAATAAATGAGATTTTTTTATTTTGGCAACAATCATAACTATTGGAGCATTGAATTTGGCTTGCATTGCATGTCGTGGTGTCATATATATTTTCAATGTTGTGATCACTCAAGGCCACTGAATTTTAAATGTTTGAATGGATAAGGTTTCTTATTAACTGTACTAGACCCAAATCCCCTATGATTTTTACAGATGTCAATGAGAAGTTTTTTTTTTAAATAATACAAAGTGGGAATGAAATTTATAAAGCATTATAAAAACAAAACAGTTGTGCGGATACCTCAGATCATCGTTGTAGATCAACATTACAACAAACTTTCAAGTTAGTAATTTAATTATTATTATTTTTTTACATTTAACAGACAAATGACAGATGCTTCACTCGTATAAGTTATATTGGCAATGATCAGTACAGCGTTAGTAAAGGATGTACAGATATGCCTACAACACAATGTGATGATTGCAAGCGTAGTGATAATCTGTTCTTACCAAGGAACTGTACCTATGTATGTGGGACATCACACTGTAATGCATTTCTACCATCGGACTTTATACAATGGAATATGTGTCCTCACAGTGTAACTTGTTATGCGAACTATAACATTCAGTGGAGGCCTACACCAGCAGGTACAGAGACTGAAGTGAAATGTCCCTTTGTATCACCGAGGACTGGGTTAACGGCCACAAGGCAATGGTAAGGACAACGCATTGATTATTTTGTGTTGTAATAATTATTAAACATTTTGTGAAGGCTCATGTTTTTTGTGGTCCCATGCAACCTTAAAGTTTATAGATTATCATACGAGGTTATGTGATTGTGTCTTATTAAGTCACCCTAATTAATAATGTTATTGACACTTGCATAATTTCTAACTAACATGACTGATTTATGACCCGGGCTGTTATTTGGATGTGCTCTTTTCGAAAAAAAACACAATTTTGATATATTGCCATTTCTATTATAAAAGCATCGAAAGTAATAAGACAAGAGAGGAGAAGCTGTTGTTGTTATTCTCTTATTTTCTTGGTTAACGTTCCCGTAACGTATTACATGAATAATTTGTATTCAGATCAGTTTCAAAACAGTCGGAGTCTTACAAAGTTAAGTTAGTCCTCTTCACTCCGGGGGGAGCATAAAGCGCAGAAAAATCTCTTCCAGCCGTCACGGTCCTGTACAAGCCATCCTATTTCATTCTAGGTCTTCCCTGCTGTTTTCAACTCCTCTTCCACAGTCC